CATTCATCTAGATCATACTTTCACCTGGTTATCAACTGTACCCATACGCCGAGATCAGACGCTTTGTCTCCTCTTATCTTAGAAATCAAGACCACGCAGACACGCTCCAGCGCCGATAATGCCTATTTCTTGCTTAAAACCAATTAGCATTGAAGTATCAGTATTAACACTGACATTTAACTAAATCGACAATTAAAGTCAGTACCCGATGAGGTGAGGTGAAACTTTTTATCATCTCCGTCTTAAACGATCTCACGCTGATTTCACGTCTACAATGAGTGGTGATGTGCTGCGAAATTATGATGTCAGATAGAGCACAAAACGATGTATTGCACATGTCAATTTCTCATAGAAATACCTGAATTGTCATTGGAATCAATTCTTAATCGACTGCATCAAATTTGATCATAGGTTTCCTTTTGCGTTGCGATAGAGAGGCGTTATTCTTAACAAACATTCGGTAAAACAACATTATAATTTGTGAGACAGTTTCCTATAAAGTATACAGAATCCTCCAGCCCATGCGTTCCGTATACAGGTAAAAAAAAGACTGCACGTCGTTCAGCGGTAGTATATTTGGTGTGCCCTTTAATTTTGCATAACAGATTAATGGTTTTCTGTAGAAATAATGAACATATCAGTACGTATTTTATCAACTGTATTTCCCACGACCAAATGTTTCGATATATATTGTTACTGGGTATGCGTTACTAAATTAACCATTCACGAAAGAACGTTATGTTAATGAGGTGATCAATGACCAGCTGCTTATAGTTATAAGAATGACGTTTTCTTTTCTGACAAAAAGACGGATAAAGGTAAGTACATGTACTAATATAATATATGCTTGTCTAGTGATAGAATAGAGCGTTCCAATCTGAACGATTTGAATAATGTACGTGTTAATTTCTATAATCAGAAGCACCACAGATGGCGTAAACATCCCCAAATTTACGCTAATACTGATAAGAAAGAAACTAAATGTGTTAAGTAGACTAATAATACAACTGTTTAACAGTCAATAGTTGGTGTACAATAACGGCTGGAGATATTCAGGGAAACATGCAACCTACCTTCCTCATTGCGGCATCTCCGCGTGTATATCTTTGTGGTAAAACGCTTGTCTTCAGCGACCTTTTTGTATCATGCTCAGCTGGTACCGAAGTGCTTTCTCCCTCCAAAAAATCACTTTGTGGTTCCAAGACACAAATGCCACGAAATATAAACAATCTCAAAGTAGTTTACACAGTTGTGTGAGCGCGCACCTGTGTTATCAGGTCTGTCGTGATATTTTGACCCCAAGTGACCCAGGAAATTGAATAACTTCGGGTATTGACCAACGACCTAATACAACACAGGTTCGAATCTCCTGCGGCCAATGTTACCAGTCAGGGTTCAGCTTAGAACTTCATTGAGCACAAAACTAAGTCACCTGTGCCCCGAAACCAGCAGTTAAGCCCATTAGTGTCCGGGGTGATTACCGTGCGTAGGTGGGTGTTGCTCTTTCTGATAGATCACGTGTGCGGCTGTTACTGTTGTTATTCATTGGATACTAAAACTTAGTTAACGATTGCTGAATGGGAAACATATCGTAGTTTGACCAGAGAGACCTCCGTTTCACAAGATAAAGGAAAGGTTGTTTGTAGACTTTTTAACTTGTTAAGAGGTTTTGAGTGTGTATTCTACCCCTTCACGGGAGCACCAACAATGCAAATAGCACAGTTTTGGGTGTTAAATGAAGAATAGACATAATTGTGGATAGTTTATACAGAAGCGTCATTATATGCATCTTATTAAATGATATGAGCAAATGGAACGTGTCTGGTCGGTGCTTGCTGAACATAGTAAATGACATTGTGAATAAAATATAGGATGAAAAAAAAGAAATAGTATGCACAAAACAGGCAGACTTAGTGGAAAGGACTTCCTTGATAGCACAGCTTTCTGTCTTCTCTTAACCACGATGGGCAACGAGCCTCTCGGTGAGAAATAGGTGTATTAATATAAAGATAAGCAACAACGAAGCTCTGAATAACGTGGCCAAAACATGCCGTGCAGCTGTAACCCACTGCAGTTCCATGTATGCCTCTACACCAGTTGTAAATGATTCGCGATGTATAAATATCGTATGCTACAAAATAGACAAAATCTACTTTATCTAAGACTCCCCCCTGCTGCGAAAATCTGTATCAAATATTGATAATGATGCCGTCGGCGTTTCGTCGATTGCATTGCTTTACCACATAGAACTGCACTCTGCAGAGGAAAGCGTGTTTTCCCTTGCTAAGGTGCCCCAGTGAAAAGTCATGTACATGTATGTTTGCACTGCTAAACGTAGAGACATCATACTATTGCAGTTATAATTCTGGTGCTCGTTATTTAAAATGCAAAGGAAATACTAAACATTGCTTTGGCTAATTTTTTAATTGCCATAAAGAACTAGCGGGATAGTCTCATGAAACCATCAGTTTTGTAATGAAATTTCATTTTAATACACAATATTTGTATGAACTAGAACAAACAATACAAGGCTAGATATTTAAGTCAACAATGAATGATTTACGTCTAAAAAGTAAATTGTTAAAGATTATGCATCTTCGGTTCATTTTATTTATACTTTGATGGTGACTAGAACGTATACTTGCATAGTAGTTGATATAATAATAATAATAATAATAATAATATTTTTTGTTTCTTTTTTCACTGAGATTTATTTCATTTTTGTTTTTTGAGAATCAACTAAATTCTTATCGAAGTTACCAAAGTGCGGTGATTCTGACAAAATTCTTTCCATGATTTAAATGAAATAATGTTCTGCGTTGAAAAATCGGCATTGAGGTTTCGTTACCAACATTCCCAAAGCTTGCCCAACAAGCCCCTTCACCTTTTACCAGAGTGCTCGTTTTAACGTACAGTTTGGTAAAGATACACATGGAATGTTAGGAGTTTTGGTCAATTTCCAAACGGCTAAGAGTAAGCGGTCAGTTTCTTCTCTGACGCCGCAGATTTTGTTTCAATAAAGGTCGCATTTTTGCCTCATCAAAGGGATTCCTGTCTATATTGGATTATATTATGAAGCTAACCCTTTTGTTGTCACCTGCCTTAAATTCATGACATGGCAATGTAGGTCTATTCCGGCCTTATACTACCAAGTGTAAGATCTCAATACATTACTCAGATTTCATTTCGCTAATTCTTGTCTATTATTTTCAATTTAGTTTCACTGTTTTGCCTTGTAATTACAGGCAAACTGTTAAAAAGGTTGTGTTGATATAAAACACCCCTTTTGACACTGCATGAGATAACCTTTGAACCAAGTTCCTACATCCCTAGTATGCTTTACATGAACATACCCCTGTGTGTGCCTATGTGTGTGTGTGTGTGTGTGTGTGTGTGTGTGTGTGTGTGTTATAAATAAATGTGGAAAAAGTGAACCAAAGACATCATTCAAATTATATCCATGTAAGCTATTTTCCACCTTTAAATGAACGAGAAGGGGGTATATGTAGCAAAATGATGAACATGTTTTCTGCACGGCATGTTGTACGTTGCACTCTCGCATTTGGGCGCTAAAGATAGATTGAGCATTTGCTCTCCAACTTATGTCACTGCAATGTTGTGTACAAGGAAGTATTGTAAATGTATAAATTCTAGCCACTGTTTTTTTTAAAGCTTTAAAAACTAATGCATTAGTCTATTATATATGTACTTAACCCTTCGAAACTGTGTGTCCTACCAATTCATTTCTCGAAGTATATCAGCGTTCTTTAGACGGATACTTTTCTAGCATTAAAAGAACACAGCCCTGAAGACACTACTAGTACGAAGCACAGAGCCCATTGAGCGAAATCGGGGATCCCGTTCTATTTCTCTAACTGAGCACTATACAGTATATCCTAGTCCCCTTACGAGTGTGCACTATTTGTTTAATAATGTCCGGGTCGACTTCACAGTCCACATTAAAATGGTAAAGATTACGGAAAATGAAATTTATTCTGCTCGCGACCACTTTTGTCTCAGTGCTTAGCAAAATAATATTAATAAAGGCAATTAACATAAACATAATCAGTTCTCATTTGATATTACTTATAAAACATCAAATTGTATTTTAAAGAAGTAACAATAACGCTTTTGTTTAGCGGAATCTCAGATAATAGACTAAATGTTTAATTTTTCTGTAAATTAAGATTATATACTTTTATATTTATTTCAAGTTAATATTTTCACCTACACAGTGACTTTTATTATATGCATTGCTATTGTTAGAAATCATTGTTTTAATTTCTATATTTTGTTTAGATGGAAAACTATATATTGAGTATACTAAATTGACAGGGCGTTGTATTCAATCATACAATACATTCAACATTTTACATGCTTTAATATAATTAAAAATAGTTATTTCCCCCAAATATGTTTTATAAATAACAGGCATTACCTTAATATCAAACAACCATCCGAACGTTTTCATCTAAATATTAGAAATTTCAGCTTAAATTGTTGGTGAATTTTGACCTATTTCTAATGAAGCAAGACTTTGTTTACATGTGCCTTAATCAAGAAAGCATAAATAAGTGTGTTCTTCTACTAATTCAAATGATGAGCATTTCTCTCCCCTACCCCCCCTACCCCCCCCCCCACCCCACACACACACACACACTATCAAAGAGGGCATATTTTGACTGCTACCTATAGGTTCGCAAGTTAGATAATTTTCTTAAATAAAACAGTTGGGGCTCCAAATTTTTTCATAAGTATTATACTATATCATGTTATCAAATCATTCACTAAATACGCATATCCTTATCAAACAATATTTTTAATATGTTGGTTTCATGTCACCGCTATTCTATAAACCTATACGTGGATATTTTTCCTCTAGCGGTTCCAACGACAAGCTCTCCGTTACTGTTGACATCGACTGACAAAGGATATCTTATATCGTCAATCCATGTCAAAATTCTACGTAGAAAACGTCCGTCTGAACCAAGGACAATCACCCTGTCATTACGACAGTCAGCTATGAATATGCGTCCAAACATGTCTACGCATATTCCTCGTGGATCATCCAGTTCCTCGTCCCCGCTTTCAATCTGATCTCGCAATCCGTATTGGAACCTGCCGTCACCCTTGGGTGTCACTGCATACACACTGTGGGTCAAGTAGTCGCTGACTATGATTGCATTGATCCCGTAGTGGTATGCACAGCGTAGTGCACCTTTACTGCACATTGGGATAGCAATTCTTTGAACAAGTTGAAAAGATACCATGTCGTACATACAGATGCACTGTGCACCACTATCACACACGTACACTGTACCCTCTGTACGGTCCACAGTGACACCCCAGGGGTCAGACATATCACCCTGACCAAAACATCGGATAACCTGGCCTGACGTTGAATACAGTCTACAGCATTTATCTCTGCATGTGACCACGAATCTATCGTAACTGACTGTAGTGATATGCCTCGCTTTTCCCTCTATACTGATCTCACGATTACATTGGCCTGTGCTGAAGAATATGGACACTTTAATACCATGTACAACTAAATAGCACCCGTTATCTATGCACTGGATATCCCACGACCAACCCTTCACGATAAAACAGGTTCCCCGCTTTGCTCTTCCAAGGGATTTGGCTTTCTGAAATTCTTTCAGTACGGGAAAGTACGCTCTTTCTTGATTCAATCTTCCAAAACATGCATCCAAGGGACCCCGGTATGTTTTGGTCGTAATGGAGCCCGGTTTGATGGTCAGTGGCCGTGGTTCAGGGATTTTAGGCAACTGAAGCACGACATCCATATTTGTTTGCCCTGGTGTAAACGTTATGTCGGTGATTTCAGTATCAAAGACTGGTTCTACGTTTTGTAACTCCTGAATTCTAGTTTGGAGTATTTTAGAGTGGGTCATGACCTCGATGTCAGAACCGGTGTTTGTGAGCTGCTGAGCGAAATCATGAATGGTCTGAATCGAAATCTTATTCATTTCTAGCCTGTCCTTTTCAGCTTCTAAAGTCTTCACCTGCGTGGACGTTAGTCCCTTAACTTCTTCCGATATTGTGTTGCTTTTTTCATCTAAACATCTTTTCATTTTGGTGTAATCAGACTGTACTTTTGTTCGATACGTTTCCAAATGCTGCTTGACATCGAGCAAATAGGCGTCCGTCTGTTCGCGTACATACTTCTCTACTTGCTGGTAATAATCGGTGAGTTCTCTTTCAATAGTTTTACTGTTTTTACTTATCTGCTTTGTCATAGCTAATTTCTGAGAATCCACCAAACGAAGAATCTTTGTCTGATTTTCTGTCAGCCTCTCTTCCGTTCGTACAATGGTTTTCTCCACCTTTTCAAAACGAGACAGTTTCCCGTTTGGAAGACATCTCAGTTTTGCTTGTATTATCACCCGCTGAGCCTTCACCACATCTGCAATTTTTTCGAAGTCGTGTTTACTGTGAGTTTCCAAAATACAATCTCTACATGCCACGGTGTCATCCTCTTTACAATAGAATTTTAGCAACTCGCCGTCGTGATTTTCGCAGTATTGAGCAATATGTAATATCTGACGTAACTGAGTTTGTTTGTTAGCTGGGTTAACTGATATATCGATTTGTGACTGAGGTACAAAGTGATGATCAGTTAATGCTGGGATGCTATCATGCAATTCACGACATGTAGCGCACAGTTGGTTGGTTTTGGGACAACCTTGGCACAGCAAAGTGGCCTCTTTATGCTTACAATACTCACAAAGTCTACCCTCTGGCGCTTTCTGATCTCTCATGAAGTCTGTTACTTTTCTTAAGAAAAAGTTTTTCACGAGAGTGTCTAACCCACCGGGTGGTACGGGGGCCTCTTGGCGACACACGGGGCAGAAGAACTTGTTCTGGACACCATTCTTGGCTGCATGGTCAGCAATGCATTCCAGACAGAATGTGTGGTAACATGGGAGCACTCTCGGGTCTTTATATTCCCCCAGGCATATATGACACGTTAGAAAGTTCTCACTGAAGGCACTGCACATCTCTTTCGAAGCCATTGCAATAGTATATTAGCGCCCAGTGTGGGCACAGCGCTCCGCCCCTACACGCCGACCGGGGCTCTACAGCTGCCAAAGCCGTTACGAAAGCTTATATATCATTAAATTAGTTATCTATGCTAATTAAAGTTGCCACCAGATCAACACGATCATAATCAGGTGTTGTTGCCAATAACCAAGACGGTGTCAAATTTTAGTGTACCAATTGAGTGTTTGCCATATCAATGATACACTGTGAGGGGTGACATTCCATTGACGTGCCTTAATGCTCAAAACTCCCCCTAGAAGGGAAGAACCGTTCCTTGACATTTGCAGGGCACCCACACCTTGCATCACGTTTACCCTAACCTGCACGAATTCAATGGAGATCGGACTCTCTGTTATACAGACTTGTGTGACGTCTCTCGTAGCGGTCCTAATTATACGCCTAGGCGACATACGAGACTAGGAAGCTCGCATTATTCCGCGGGAGGTGGTTGGGGCTACATGTAATTTATTAGCAGTTAGGAAGAAACTCCATATATCGGTAATGATTTTTTTTCTTTTTTTTTTTTAGAAAGCAATAGTGACAGACAAAACATGGTGAATTCCTACTGCTAGGCAATAGGCTGTAACTTTTGAGTAAACAAAGTGAAAATATCAGTGAATAAATTGTCAGCTTTCCTTAGTTACCGCACCTCAGTCGTCATTATTTCTGACCTCCCTGTCCCCATACATTGCTTGGGTAGACTTTGGGATATAACGGATGCTCTCCATTGTTTTTCATCTATACTACCTTAATATTGTCACCGATTGTTCCTAATAATAATAATAATAATAATAATAATAATAATAATAATAATTTATTTGCTATAATTGCAACCCAAAGGTTGAAGTTTTACAATGTATCATAAATAAAATCATAAGGTACTTAAAAGTAACTAAATTTTATAAACTAAAAGACAAAAGCTTTAAAACAAGACTTATAAGACAATTTGGAGCAGTATTTTACATGAGATTTAAAATACTGTGCATTAGATTCATCACAATCAGATGATGTTGTCAATCATGAGGCGGTGCCAAAGTCCCCAATCTATTACACTACATCTACAGGTGCCAAGGTCCATGTTAATAAATATTGATGCATTGTTTGATAAAGTTGTCGATACACAGCACTGTCAGGGCGATATCAAGGCACAGCGTGATATGTCAGTGATACGTGGGTAGCAGTGGTGTGCCGGGTGATTCTGGAGGGGGGTTACTCTTACAGGACCAAGTCACATGTGACGAGCACGAAAACAGGGAAAGTTGTTTCTATTATTGGTGACTTCACACAGATAAACAACAGATGGATAATGTTATCATCATCATCATAATCATTATTATTGTCATTATAAATAATTTTCTACCGCCCCCCTTTCAGCAGATATCTCCGTTTGCCGGAGGTGACTTCAGGGGCTACTACCGGGTACATGGGTTCATCACAACAACGCACATGTTCACAGTTCTCCCTTCGTGATTGTTTTTTTTTTTTTTTTTTTCAGAAACGCAATTTTCTAAGGATGGAACAACCATCCATGAGCCCTAATACTATGTTTGATGGTAGTATATCGAGACAATAAAACAACCTATGAATAGAATAATCAGAATCTTACAGTACCGCCCCTTTTAAATATATTTCACAACGACAGCTTAAAAGTGTCTGAATAAAAGTATCCGAATTTATTTTCCAGAAAATTAATTCATCATAATTTTTCAAGGAAGCGAGCGAACAATTAGCTTAATGCAACTAGAGCTGTACAATTTGTCAGCAAGTTAAAAAGCACGTATTTTAGCACAACAGCGTATATAATATATTTGCCGCTAATGATATTGCAGTATTGCAGTGGAAAGCCTCTGCTTCTTCCAACAAAAATTGCAGGGTGTGAACAGAAAGCCACGGTGTTAATGCTGCTGTTGTCTGGAAAGAGCTGGTATATCAACAGTAAGCCACGGGGTAAACGCTGCTGTTGTCTGGATAGAGCTGGTAACATCAACGTAAACCCACGGTCTTGATGCTGCTATTGTCTGGATAGAACTGGTAACGTCAGTAGGAATTCAAGCCACGGTCTTGATGCTGCTTGTGTCTGGATACAGCTGGTAACCGGTGAACGTGCTGTGGAACTTCCCGGGATGGTTATGAAGAGCGTGGCCTCCAACTAAATCAATCCACACCTCGTCTCCCTCTGCTAGCCGCAAAGCAATAGCATTACTGCCTGTCGCAAACCCAGTGGAAGGTTTACCATACCCAGTATTCTTTATCACACCATTGTGGTTCAATCTGACATATACGGGCTTGCTGTAGTAGCTGAGACTATGGTAATGGAAGACATAGACTCCTGAAGTCGGAGAGGTGAATATCCCGGTGTATTTATTATAACCGTTGTCATCGTTGAGAAAGACGGTGCCGTAGATAACCACAGCGTTACCTTTCCCCGTCTGGTCAAGATCATTTGATCTCCCCGCCTAGAACGCTACCAGTCCGTAGGCTGAAAGGATATTGGAATCATAATATAGTTGTAATTGTATAATAGTATTGCAGATTTTTTCTGTAGCCAAACAAAAAATATTGCATATGTTGGTTTATAATCTATTATATATCCTAAGGGGACTTCGTTACCAATGCTTCAGTGCTGCTGCTGTCACCTTTACAACTTGCCCCCTTTGCATGAAAATCGTTACTTAACTGAAATTGCGATTATTTCAAGGTCATTTTTAAACGAGAGTTTTAATGATTTACAGACTTGAAAGCGACAATTCTTGTGATACGTACCAGAGCACGTGCCCATATCCAGCGTTGCCACTAGCAGTACAACTAACATGGCGCGTGTGATCATTTTTAAAGTTGTCTGCAATAGAAGAATTATCTCAGTTGGTGGAGTTTATATGCATGTAATTATGTGCCTTTCTTCAAAATCTATCCTATGTTTATTTCATGACCGTTGCTACTTGTATCTTATAAACATAAATCTCCAAATTCTCCTATTTGATTTTAAAGCCGCGAAACAAATGCAGAATTAATAAGATTGATGTAAAATCGAACGAATGAAATAATGTAGTTTTCCACGTTTTATCCAAAAAGAAGGGAATAAATTTAGTAATACCATGTGATCTCTTCATGATGTCGTTAAAATGACACAATCTCATCAAATATCGGTTTTAAAATATTCTGCCCTAATGCAGACGCAACACAAACAGCATATGTACAACTGTATTACCTAAAAACGGTAATTTCTTCATTTCTCAACGAAACATCAATTCAATATGGCAGTCTTTGACAGGTATACACATGTCGCTACACATCATCATATAATTGTTTTGTGAAATTTCACATTCAAAACGTAAAACAATAAGTTTTGGAAAGTTTTATCCCTTATTACAATAACTAAAATAAAGCCATGAGAAACAATTACTAACTTATACAAAATGTTAAAACAAATACCAATGACTGTAAATATTCAGAATGTAAATTTCTCCATCCCCTCACCTCTATGGCGCAGCCACATCGATGTTCCAATGAGAGATGAGTTTGCTTTTGGTCTAACGGCGACTTCTGGTGAATTATCTAAGATAACGGCAATTTATATACGTTACATACAAAGGATAACTGGGTAAAATCATCCCTACCAACTGAAAAACAATTCGGGCCAATTTGAATTACAAAGTCATGATTTTAATTTTTTACGGTCTAGACTTATTCATCAGAGCGTAATTGCTTTTGATTTATAAGACCCTTTCTTTGACAAACGTTAAACTATGTAAATGCTTATGCAAAAGAACAAATAGCACGTCTAACCCTGGGTTTCAGTCGCCTAAAGAGGTTAAATAATCTTCTAATCCACATCTTACTGGTTACCAGTCTTTTTTGACAGTGTGTGTCGAGAATAAAAAATCAGGTCTATTAATCAAAAGGCCAATGATCGTAATTCGTTAGTATCTACAGACTTGACATTTAATATGGAATATTTTTCCATATCATAATTAATCAGTTTTTTTCCTATTTTGCTGACTGATAAATGAAAATAAGGATTAAAATCGTGTTTTAATAACTTTTGATAATCTATTCGATGTCAGTGTGACTTCAGTTCATTAACTAATTTAGCCAGTGAAGCATACAAAAAAAAATTGCCTATTTTAAGTCATACAACAACCATTGATAGCGATATTTTGGATCTCCATATTTCCCTAATTATTGTCTTTAAAAGAGTTACATGTCCCACAAAGCCCCCCCTCCCATATTAGTGACTAGTCAAAGCAACAGTCGCTGTTACGCTTGACCTCATCTTGCTGCTACCAGAGGTTTCAAGCCGCAAGGAATTCCTTATGATATATTTTTAGAGTTTAATCTGATATAAAATTCCAGGCAACGGTTAAAACTTGTCTAATTTGGCTCAGTTTTGTTGTAGGACATGCACGCCGTTGATTCGGCGAGTAATGACCTACCGACATATTGTCTCGGTGGTTCAATTATGGCGATTTTGATGACCAAGGTAGCAACTCATTCCCTTGGTTCTATAAGTTATCTGCTATTAAAAGTGCTCTGTGAGAACCGGCAACCTCATCGTGCAACCTAAAATTGTTCCTAAGGTGCCCCTTATCAAATGATAGTCAAGTGGTTCCCAGATTATTCCTTTATTTGATCTGGTTCAGGTTTTCATCGATGACTACCATTGGTGTTTTGGCACCAATGTGATATCCACTCCAAATACTGACTCTGTCAATGACCCTAGCCACTTAAGAAGTGGCACACGCTTCGTCGTAGGCCTCTTCATAATGTCTGTAAACTCTGTTTAGACCAGTTTAGCGGTACAGGTGAAATCTAACCCCAATAAGGAAAGCCACGCGGTTTCAGTGTTCTACCCAGAAACGGTCATGGTCCCCAGTTCATTAGAGAAACAGACTACGCTGCCTTGCTGTTTACAGTGGCTTCCTCAGAGGTCATCTGGTATCTTAACCTGCTGAAACCAATTTGGTGTTCGCTA